TGGACAAAAAAAGTCTATAATTTTTCTTTTTAATTCCTAAATTACCTTTTAGAAAGGCTAAAAAGGTTTATACTTCTACTAATACTGAACACTATCTTTGATGGGACAAATAGAATTAATTATATATGAGACAAAATCTTGCTATGTTCCCAGATTGGTCTCCAGTGATTTCTCCTGCTCCAGCATCCTCAGGAACTTGGATTACAGGCATGTGCCACTGTGCCCGACTACACTTCTCTGATTACTACTGAGAGGTGATCACAGATGTTTTCATTTAACTAAGGCGCTTTAAAAAGAAATTTTTTTTGGCACTTAACATTAAAAGAGGATTTTCAAGGTGAGATTTTATTCACCTTTGATATTTCTGATTGAAAAGTTTAAACTGAATAGAATTTCACAAGACTGAAAAGTCTCCTCTCTAATTCTAACCTGTGGATAAAACCTGGGTGGCATGAAAAAGAACTCCAAAATTATTTACCATTAGATCACAAATCAATGCCACTCATTTTAAAATTTTCTTCTAAATTAAAACAAGTACTTCCAAATTGGGGAAGTTATGAATGGGAAATTAAATGATAGCAAAGAATTAGTAGTAATTTTTCCAGGTATGGAAATATTATGATCATACAGGAAAACATCACATTTGTACTTCCAGCATGATAAAGGCTTTGTGGATACTCTTCAGCAAAACTGGTGAAAATTATAAAGGATAACCACTAACTGTCTCTGGAAATGGTCCTGGGGACATATGCCAGATGAAAACACATTTATTGGAGAAAATCTACCACAGCTCAATGGCAATAGTGAGTCTGTGCTGTTTAATCCCAGGCATGATTCCTTCCTCCACTCCTAGCTCAGCAAAATGGAAACTCCATTTCGGTCATTTGTAGCCAAGAGCTCAGAGCTCCCTCTCCTGGCTGTTTCGCTTGGAGAGCTAACTTGGGGGAAGGGAGCTTTGGGCTTACCCAGCTCCCAGCTGTCAGGTGCTGAAGCTGAGTCCTGGGGGAGTGCAGTAGAGACACAAGGGGCTCACTTCCGCCCAGGGAACAATGGTGAAATGAGGACTCTACCTTGGATGCAGCACTAGGTATATATATATATGGCTGAGAATACTAGGCCCTTACGTGATGCAGGTTTATCATATTCAAACAAAAGAGAATAAAAAACAAAGAGAAAAACTGGAAAAGGAAAAAAAATTGCCTTATCCATAGAAGAATAAGGACACAAATTACCTCAGCATTCTCCTTTCAGAGATCATACATGCAAGCAGAGAATGGAGTGAAATATCTAAAGCATTAAAAGAAAAACCTCCATCAACTTAGAATTTCAGTACCCAGAAAAGCTATCCTTCAAAAATGGAGAAATATAAATTTCTCAGACAAGCAAAAGCTAAGAGAATATGCTGGCCACAGATACGCCTTGCAGCATTCTTCCAAAAGAAAATGTGATACATCAGAAAATTAGTTCTGTATAAAGAATGGAAAAGGCTTAGAGAAGAAATAAATGAAGGTAAAACAAAATTTGCTTTTCTTAACCTTTATTGATTTAAAGAAGTCTGCTTAAAATAAATACAGCAACATAGTAGTCAGTGATTATAACACACAGATAAATAATATGAATGACAGCAGTGTTATCAAAGACAAGGAGGACGAGTTAGGAATACTCTGTTCCTGGGTAACAACACCACCCATGATATAAATGATCTTGTGTACAACCAAAAAGATACGGATCCCTTCCCCAGAACTTGACTTTCTAGTTCTTTTTGCTTTTCTTTTAATGTATTTAGTATAGGGTCTACAGGATCTCACTATACAAATCAGACTTGTAGTGATCCTGTTTTTCAGCCTCCCTTATCCATAGAGGAACAAGGACGCAAATTACCTCAGCATTGTCCTTTCAGAGATTATACATGCAAGCAGAGAATGGAGTGAAATATCTAAAACATTAAGAGAAAAAACCTCTACCAACTTAGAATTTCAGTACCCAGAAAAGCTATCCTTCAAAAATGGAGAAATATAAATTTCTCAGACAAGCAAAAGCTAAGAGAATATGCTGGACACAGATACGCCTTGCAGAATTCTTCCAAAAGAAAATGTGATACATCAGAAAATTAGCCTCCCAAGTGCTGGGCTTACAGGTGCGTGCCACAGGCCCAGTCTCAATCGCTATCATCCCTGGCCCCTGCATTTGCCTAAATGGGTGCTTTAATCTACTGAGCTATCTGGCTGGCCCTAGCTCTCTTTTATAAGTCTCATTTTAAGATGGGAATTACCTTTGTAATGGGTTAACTCATATTTTAGGCTATAAATGTAAATCTTGTGCTTTCTGTTGTAAATGTATACTCACCCATTGTTTTAGATGGCTTAATAAATAGTAGCTGTTACCTGTAGTTTGCAAGATAAAACTCCTACCTCACCAATCCTTGTAAACAAAGTTAGATTACAGAGATGACTTCAAAAGGAAACTAAAGGGGTTTTAACTTCTTATAACCTCCGGGCTACAGAAGGCTGCCTGCAAAATTAACCAGAAACTAAAACAAAAGCCTCAGGAAATCTAGTTTGAGTAGTGGTCACAGTGACTCTGAAAGTATTATTAAATAGTGGTCACAATGATTCTGAAAGCATTCTATGTCAGATAATAAATTTGCTTATCAAACTCATTGTGGTTCCAGGGTTTAAAATCCCTCCCTGCTTGCTGAGCAAGCTGCCTTTTCAGTCTTCTCCTGCGTGAGAGCTGATCGGGGGCCCTGAGCTCAGTAATAAACTGCTTTCTAAATTCCAACCTGGCTGATCTGGTTCCTATTCTGAGCGACCCATAACACCTTTTGAGATTTTTGGCTTTCAATACTACTATACTTGGGATGTTAATATCTTTAAGATTGTGATCTTAATAATTTGTAATTTCAACACTCAGGATTATAGCATTTACAATGTGTCTTTTGGAATTATGACTGGGAACAGTGAAAATGCTGCAAAATTAACCATGCTGGTGGGAATGTAAGCATTACTGAGCAGCATACTTTAAATGGTAGTGTATGTCCATCCTAATAAATGTGCTTTGAAGGAAATTCCCATAATTTTTAGACACAAACTGAAGTGAGGGACTGCAGTAAAACACATACAGCAATTTTTTTTTTTTTTTTTTTTTTTTTTGTGGAACTGGGGATTGAACTCAGGCCCTTGTGCTTGCCAGGGAAGCACTTATTCTACTGAGCCATCTCCCCAGCCCCATATAGCAAATTTTGATAGTTCTTTAATCTAAACAATTGGCATCCTGGGGGCTCACTATGATTTTCCCTTCAGGCTCATTCTTAAATGGTTGGAGTTGAGGCTGACTTAAGACATCCTTTAAAAATGCTTTTGCTTGAAAATTTCTTTTTTTAAAAAGTCAAGTCGCCAGGTGTGGTGATACATACCTGCAATCCCAGAACCAGGGAGAATGAGGCAGGAGGACTGCCACAAATTCAAAACTGGCCTGAACTACACTGTGAGTTCAAGGCCAGCCTATACTACTTAGTGAGACCCTGTTTAAAACAAAAAACAAAAAACAAAAAAAAAACCCATCTAATTATTTGGTGACCAGTTTACTTGCCCATGTTATTTTTTAAGTATCGTTAAAAAAAAAACTAAACAGTTCTCTGAGCAATCTATCATTTTGTCTCACTATTTCGTTTTGCTTTGAAATGGTATTTTACAAACCCCAACCTACAAGTTTATATTTAACAAGATTTTTAAATTACATGCATTTTACCACTTTGGACCCATTTCGTCCATTGTCCAATTTCATGAAGTACTAACGTAGTCATGCAGCTCTGTAAAAATTAAAGATTCAGAGTCAGGTAAATGATAGTAAAATTATAACTAAAAATTTACCTGCTGACACAACACCGGTAATTGTCAAAATATATTCTTCCTCTCTCATAAGCTATAGGTGACTTGGAATGAGTTGTCCAAACATTCTTAAATTTAGTACTTTCCTGAAAGACACAAGGAATTTCGGTTTAGGAAAGAACTCATGACCCTCTACTGTGCATTCATTTTAAGTTAGATGAAATTAGATTTACGATTTTCAAAGTAATTTCGCATACGTTATTTTAAAACATTTTATGTCTTCCTCACTCTGCTCGGGCGTTTTGGATTAGCTGGTTGCCCAACTTGTAAAAGGACTGCAGAAAGGCATAAGAAGTTTACACTAAAACCATCCGATGGCCCCATTACCACCTATTTGCTAATTCCCTCCCCGTCGCCAGTGACCCCCGCAAAGGGAGTAAAGCCTTCTTCCCAGCCCAGGCTCCCCGCTGCTTGTGTTTGGTCCCCGGCCGGCAGGCGGTCACCTGGCACACCAGCATCCGCAGGATGCCCAGGTTTGTCCTCTGCACCACGCCTGCGTCGCGGGCGAAGAAGCCCAGTGCCCGGCGACTTAGCTGGCTGCACACGTTGGGCTTCCGGGTCGGGCCCATGGAGGCTCAGGCAATCGCAGGTTTGGTTGGGTTGAAGGGGGGCGTGAGGCCCCTAGCTCCTGCACCGAGCAGCCGCCGCCACCTCTGAATTTCAGGGAAAAAACTAAGGCTGGGCAAGGGGCACCTGGCAGCGGGACGAGGGAAAGCCGAGCCAGCCCTCCTTGAGCACAGGGAAGAAAGAAAGAACAAACGATCCCTTCCCGGCCTCCTTCTCAAGCGCTCTCCTACAGCGGACCGCACGAAGTCGCTGTACCTCGTGGCCTGCCGTAGTCGCCCCCTCACCGGGAAATGTAGTTTCTAGTGCCCTCTGGCTTCTTCCTGGACTACAATTCCCATCGGGCCTCGGGGCGTGAGGTCTTGCCCCATCCGATCCCGCCCCTTGGGTCCTGCAGAGGCGGTGCCGTGGGCTGGTGCGCTTTTCTGCGGGTGCAAGAGGCGTGAGGCGCGAGTCCTGGGGACGCTGTGCTGCCACCTCCTGGTCCCGCTTCGTTTGCGTGTCTGCCTTCCGGTTTGTCATTCTTCCCGCCTTGACACCGTGACGCACGTCTGCCCCTGCAGTTTGCCCTGGTAGGCTCTGGCCAGTTACTTGTCCGGAGGGCCGCTGTATCGAGTGCGACCTTCCAAAGGTACGCCCTGCGGCTTTCCTTTTAGCTTTGGACACTGTGGATGAAGTTAACGGTTAAACATTTGGGTATATACATACTATGCTTTGTACAGTACGTATTATAATTACTATTAGAAGATGCTGACTTTCCCACCGAACTAAGATTGAATCTATTCCCCCCCCCCCCCCCCGCCTGCCATTGTGTGGCCTGTAGGGACAGTTTGGAGATAGTACGTTTTTCTTGCAGGGAATAAAATAAGAAATGCTTACATTTTTATTGAATGAACTAGGATATACAACGTTGGTTTCTCTAAGTAAAAGGTAACAAACTTTGTTAAATGGCCCTGCCTGTGTGTTCAAAGCTCTAATACTCTATAAATTTACAATAGTCTTAGGTCCTGGGTGTTTTAGGTCCCTTGAGGGTATTGTCTTTCCCTCTCCCACAGGCAGTTGGCATGCTGCCTCCTGTTTTTAGGTTCCCAAGGAACATGAGTGATCCCATATGACAGCCAGTCCTCAAAACACAGTAGTAGGTGAGTGTGCTGGGTCAACGTCCTTTCGTAAAAAAATGGTCTTCTCTGCCGGGGATATAGTTCAGTGGCCAAGCTCCTGCCTGACAAGCACAGGGTCCTGAGTTTGATTCCTGGTATCAAAAAAAAAAATTCTCTTTTTAACCTTGGTACATTTCACTCAGGTTCTAGATTTTGTTGATTTTTTTTTTTATGACTTATTGTTGAAGGATTACTAAGTGCAACACCCTGTCTTTACTTAAGCCACATGACTTCCTTGACATTATATGCATGCAGTAGTCCACCTTCTCTTATCCTGCACCAGGGACAAATGGTACACCATCCAATCCAAACACAAATGTGCAAACTGAAGTCTTGTGACAGCGCTCAGCTGAATGGTAGTCATCCAGTTGATCTAGAGTGTGTTTTTGTTAAAATTTCTGTTTTCAGGTTTTGATAAATTGAAAACAAAGGGTTCTCCAGTAGAAATCTCAGTCTTGAGGATACAGATACACATTCCTGCAGTTCCACATAGGTACCTTATAGGGCAGAGTGGTATCCTTCAGTGCAGTGTACACAGAGTGTGCTGTTAATCTTCATCCTGCCATATTTTCAGGCTCCTCTCTCTGGCCATCCCTCACATGTGCCATGTGGTTCTGATATTTACATACTTTCCTGGCCCAGTATGCGTTTATAATTGAGACTTTGTCTGGAGCTCCCTTCCCCACCTCTTACCATTTATCCGAAGACTTCCACATGTCACAGTTGCACTTGAACCCTTTTCCTCGTCCCATCAGTGTAGTAGCATTGTTTGTGCCTCTGGCTTATTCTGCAGATGATTGTGGCACTGTTTTAGAATTATTGTTAGTCTGTCTTCCTAACACAGTCAAAAACAGATGTAATATTTTGCACCTTCAGCATACTGCCTAAAATGTGGTTCATGCATGTGTATGTTGAAAGAATGAATGGTGCGCTGGGGAGACAGCTCAGGGGCATAAATGCCTGCCTGGCAAGTGCAAGGTCCTAAGTTTGATTCCTGGTACCAAAAGAGAAGAAGAGGAAGAGGAAGGGGAAGAATGAATGGCCTGTAAAAACAATGTTTGTATGGAACCTATTAGCAATATGTTTACCTTTTACATAGGTACATATCTAGTCTCTGTTATTCTCTTAGTAGGAAACTACAATATTAGTAAGAAGAAATAACTTTCAAAAAATTTAACGTCCTCAGAGTCCTATCTATAATGTAGATATTTTCAGTTTGTTGAAGGTTAAGATAGCATGAACACAAAAGTTTATCGTTGGAAAATAACTTCTCTTTGTTTTAGTAGTAAACAAATACTAGCTTTCCTCCTCCATTCTTTGTGTTGGTAAGTTTGCAGACTACTAACCCTCCTAGCTACTACAAGGAAGAAGAAACACAAATGCACAATCTTTGCTTGTTCATATGCTCTGCTTAAAGAAGCAATAGCTGTATGAAATACTCAGATTATTAAACTTGAACATTTGTTTAGAGACAAATTTAAGCCAAGGCGACAGGTGGTCATTCATACAACACATGATTATTTTTATCCATTATGTGCTGGGAACTATTTTGTCATAGGGTATGTCAGGGAACAGGATGCATGTTGGGAGGAGCATCACAGAGGAGAAACTGTCCACGGCAAGCAGAAGACAGCAAAAACAGCAATGACAAGTAGCAACATTAACAGCCTTCTTTCTGTCCCTTATATTCTATCCAGGCTCCCTGTCTTTACTCACACCCAAGTAGTGCACCCTTAATCCTGACATCACATCATGTATCAATCCCAGCATCACAGCTTTAATCCTAGCATCATACGCTCTAGATCCAACCACCTACAGAAAACTCCCATCTATGACTAGGGTTTGGGGGTACATCTACATACAAGCCATACCACACTGCTTATGGACCCTGATCCCCTTTGGTGGGGGAGGTTTGAGACAGGGTTTCTCTCTGTAATTCAGGCTGGCTTTGAACTCACAGCAGTCCTCTTACCTCACCCTCCTGAGTGTTGGGATTATAGGGGTCTGGCACCAAGTATAGTCTTTCCTCTTTATGAAAATGAATAAGAAAAAGAAAGTATCTGAATGATGTTGAATATCAAATAAGCAAAATTAAACTGTATACACTCTTTTATGTCTTTCCCTCAATATGACACTTAATAATATACCAGTAGTTAACTGAGTTACTAGTATATAGTATTTCATTGTACAGATTTCCTGTGGTTATCTACTATGGGCTGGGCTTTTGCTTCTCAGAAACAAAAGTTCAGAAAAGTGTGGCTATGGACATTATTATACCTGTCTTTTACTACCCATATTACGGTATCTTAGTTTTGAGCTATGCATGTGGTACACAACTGTAATCCTAGACACCCAAAAGGCTGAGACAGGAGAATCACAAGTCTGAGTCCAATGCCTAGGTGCTTACCCATACTAATTCTTGGTGATGGTCCTAATTACGCAGTCATCTCTGAGATTCCTTCCTGTCACTTTATACCTTCTATGTAGTCTGCCAGTGTGGTTGGGACTTATGATTACGATGGATGGATGGATGGTTGCTTCCTTGATTAGATTACTTTCACATAAGGCCCCATTTTAGCATACAGCAGAAATGCTGTCCTTTGTTTTTTTGAGACATGGCCTCACCAAGTATTTAAGGCTGGCCTTGGACTCCTGGTAATCCCCCTGCCTTAAATTCTCAAGTGCTGAGATTACAGCTGTGTACTACCACGCCCAACAAACATCCTCCTACTGGAGAGGCAAGTTGTGAGAAGGACCACGTGGCATGAAACAATAGGCAACTTTAGAAGCCAAGGGTCGCCATCATAAAGTGGCAGGGAGCTGAATCCTGTTCACAATTCTGTGAATGTAAAAGGACCCTGAGTTTCAGATGTGATTCCACCTCTGGCTAATGATTTCACCTTGGTGATATCCTGAGCAGAGAGCCAGGATACATTGTGTCAGGAATTGAGTACCAAGACTTTGAGATAATAAAAAGAGTATTGGCTTAAACTATGTACTAAGCTTGTGGTTGTTACACAGGAACTTAAAATGAATATGCTTTTTTTTTTCTTGCAGTTCTGGGGATTAAATAAAGGGCTTCATGGTTGTTGAGCAAGTACTCTACCACTGGGCTACATCCATAGCTTTTTATTTTTTGAGATGGGGGCTCACTAAGTTGCCCAGCCTGGGATTAACTTACCAACCTCTTATCTTACCATCCCAGGTATATGGCACCTCTCCCTCCTATAAATGGTGTATTTTTTTTTTTATTTTTTAAAGAGAGTACAAATTAGAATTAAAACAAAAAATTAAAAGATAAGAATTTCATTTAACAAACTGATACGAATTTCACAGTATTTGTTGTAATACATAGTATTGTCTTCCTACCAGTTATTCATATTACCAGATATATGCACATAAAATTGAAGAATAAAGAAAAAAAGAAATGTATAAGAAATCAAGAAGAACAAAAGTACAAACAATTGAGATAAGGAGATGAAACAAATTAAAGCAGGAGGGACTGGGGAGATGGCTCAGTAGAATAAGTGCTTGCCTGGCAAGTGCAAGTGCCTGAGTTCAATCCCTGGTTCCACAAAAAAAAAAAAA